CCGTAAGTATGTCGAACACAGCATTTGAGTTACCTCCGTCAAATCTTTGAACCATTTCACGACACCAACCAACACGACGGCGTTTTTGGGGCTCTGTCAAATTATGAGGTATCCACCGGCACAAAGCTTCCTGACCACTAAATGTTCATGGAGGATTTTTGCACTTGACTCATACGGTCCGAATCTGCTGACAAGTCATTCTTATGTCAGTCTCTATCATACGCCGCACAACACTGATGTTATCTTCAGTCGTCACCGTGGAAGTCCGTCCCTCACGCACATCGGTGAGATTAGTGTGACCACGTTTAAACTCTATAAAGCAATTGTAAACAGTGGCACGAGATGGGGCTTCATCGTGAAAGGCCAATCGAAGTCTATCATAACTTTCTTGTTGACTTAAATGACATCGAATGTCATAAAAATTATTGTAGGAAACTTTGGCATAATATGCCAAATTCTTTTGTATTATTTAAATCGTATCTCTGTATTTTGAAGTTACATCATAAAATTTTTTGTAATAATGAGAGTGTTCGTAGTATGTAAAACTCGTTACCAAAAGGAAAGTGGGATAATATTCCATTTCCATTTGCAGCTAATATTAAGCAAATTAAAACTATTTAATAATATAGGTACTTAAAAATTTGTTACTAATCTTAATATCGTAATTACCAACATGTTTGGCTTTATAGTACTGAGCAAAGAGAATATAATCACTACGTTTAAGAGGCGGGACTTCCATAGTAAAAATTAATGCATGAAATTACGCCAAGTTACTCTACCAACATCAAGATATGACATTTAGTTTTGAGAAACAGTGCTGACAACATTGACGAATTACAATAGTGCTGTAAATGTCTATCCTCGAATAATTTTATCGATATAACGTTTATCGATACATTGTTTATCGATATTTTTTCATAAGAAAAGTTAGATCTCTATAGTGAATTATTTATGAGAAATAAAATTTTTAACGTGTGGATTGAGTAAAAATGCCGATGAGGATAAGAAATCAATATATTTTACACACAGCAATTTGTATTTATATCTCTACAATTAGGTACAAAAGTATGTATAAAGAAAATATAAAATAAAAAACTTTTATACTAGTAATTAATTAAGTAAAAAATAAATGACGACTCCGTAGCGCAGTGGCTAAGCGTTTGGCTGCGGCATTGCAGGACCGAGGCTTTCTTCCCGCACTGAACAATGAGGGCTAATAATCTTCCACTCACCAGATGTCGCTAGTTGTGACTGAGGTAAAGTTTGTCGTTACACGATGTTAGTTAATTGAGAAATTAGTTTTAAATAATAGTTTATCATTATCTAGAGTATTATATTAATACACTACATAATGCGTTAGTGGTTTGATTTTTAATTTTTTGCACTTTATAACGCTTTTTTTAAATAATCGGGTTTTAGTTATATCTTATAGTTTGGTTTATTCATTTCTAATGTAATTAATATAAAATATAATTAATAATACAGAAAGAAACCATAAATATTACATTTTCCTAAGAAATTATCATCGCCGCTATGAAATATGTCAAATATTTTACCTCACTGTAAAGTGGCGCCGCCCTGGTGGCAGAAAAAGTCGTGGATGCCCTCATTGTTGCTATGCTGTAAAATAAATAGTCTGCATCTGGATGCTTGTTTTCAACGTTAGTTTTTTTAAGGGTAAAAATATTGGGTTTTTAATACCGATTGGATTAAATTGCTTTTATGTGTAACAAATACTATGTACAAATCGCTAGACTTCTTCACAGAGGCACCTATGTACATACTATTCGCAGAGATCGTTTACTAATTGTCGCTTTCAAAATAAGTGCTCATTATAGCTAATGTTTATTGATGAATAAAATAATGATTTAGTTATATAATCTAATTCTTGCCAAAATGTGACTTTAGAGGGATATTAACTTTTGCTACATGTAAATGAAACCTAATTAACATACACATAAATTGTGGAAGTTTAAAGTAAGTCCACTAAAGAAATAACAGTTCGTTTTAGTTAGGTTCATATGCAATGTTTGTCACAAATATGTCTTAACATGTGAATCTTTTCAATTGGTGCATGTGCCAGCTATTTCACCCATTGCTTGCATCTGAAAAAATAATATAAATAAAATCACATTATTATTGAACAAATAGAATGTTAGCAGTCAGAATTGACTTGTAGTTTCTAAGTATAGTTCGTTTCGGATTGCCAAACCATCGAACTATCAAATTTAGGAAATAGTGTGTTTGTATTTGTGCACTATAAAAACATGTCCTACATAGATGGCTAGTCCAAAAATATACTCGCGTTGAATATCATATTACTATTAAAGTTGAAATCACCACATACCTTTCATCATCTAAGGGAAATATTGTTACGAATAGCCTTTTCTTGTTATCATTTTTTCCGCTTCTTGCACCATTTAATTGGAAAGTTTTATAATGCATATTTAATTTCTTAACAATTCTGTAAATGAACAACGGCTCCTGTAGCAAAATTAAAAGCAATCTTAATTAATAAAATATATACAAATATAATTGTTTGATTTGACATTTGAACCTATTTCATTTGACAATGTCGTTAATAGACATATCACGAAAAGCATAAAGAAGAGTAACTGTCATTAAAATTTGACTCCTGTAGTACATATAATTTTTACTATGGAAGTTGCACCAGCCTGGTACTGAGTTTTGATAAACAATAAAATTCAATAGGATTGTCGAGTTCCTTGTCTATAATATTTATAGATGTTCTTTCTACCCATTTCTGTTAACACCCGAAGTCGCCGACAACAGATAATTATCAAATGTTTATTAATTAACAGGTTTCCAACTTAACCTAGACTAAAATTATGGCGAAATAGCACAAAAATAGAGAATTGGCGTCCGAAACATAATGATTATCTTTTGTTCTAAACACTTCACATACGACTATTTTATTGGACATGAGAAAGGCACCCCTTTAATAATTAAAAATTAAAAATTTTGTACAGCCGACTTTAATATAAGCGACTTCAAAGTTAGTTATTTAAGAATAACTCAATAACCATTGGTCTGACCTTGATCAAATTCATATGGGACCACACGAGAACTATCAGCTTTCATATAAAAAAGAATCATCGAAATCGATTCACCCAGTACAAAGTTATGAGGTAACACACATAAAAAAAACATACAGTCGAATTGAGTACCGTCTCCTTTTTGGAAGTCAGCAGAAAAGTACAGTATAACCAACAATATTTTGTGGTAATAACCAAGTAAGTATAAAAGTATTAGATTATTTCGAATGTTTTTTATTTCTTCTCTTCTTGTTTTCCTCAAGGGCCATAGCCAAGTGTAGAAAGGTCGCCTGAAGATGACTTTGTGTTCTGTTTAAATGTGACGAATTTATTATATAAAGGAATATTGGGACTGCAAAGTAATTATGTCCTTAGTGAGTTATAGTGAGTTTAGGGCTGTAGGGGGGGGGGGGGGGGGGTTAGTAGCCGTGGCTTGGTAACCCATGGTAAACGTAGGGCGAAGTGAAGGGCTGGGCCAAGGTGGCCACACTGAGTGGTTTTTAGTGCCCTTGGATGTGTGTTAGTGGGCTGCGGCTAGAGGAGAGTACCCTCTCTATATCGCTGCAGCCAATGTAAAGTCGCACGGGAAGAGGATTGTTGGTATGGTGATGTACCACTCGACTACCTTCCGCTACTTTGGCGGGGTTGTACCACTGGGTACTTCCGAGTGCTCATTATTTCCTGGCTCCATGGCCTCCACATATCGGGCTCGGGAAGTCCGTTGTGCAGGTGGAGGCCGCGAAGTGCAGTGCACATTGTGTTCCTGATGCGCCTATATGAGAAGGAAAAGAGAAGGCCTCAACTAAGGAGGGGTCCTCGCTGGTGGGACCGCTGATTTGTTTGAAAACGTTTCCGTGGCTTTACCAATGTGTAGCGAAGGGGGAACACCATGGGGTTTTAGTAGGTGCGAGTCCGACTTAATCCATTCTTGTCCCCGCGAAGCAGGTAGGTATGCGTAAGAATTTTCTCATTTGAAACCCTGAACAAAATCCGTTCTGTAGTTACGAATAAAAACATAGATAGACCAACGCAGCGTCGATCTTGGTTCTATATGAAGTATAAAGTTTGCTTCTAAAGCCTAGGTATTAATTGATACATTTATTTATATGATTTATTAATATGATACATAAATAGAATGGACGTTACGGGTAGGCCTGGGTATAGAATTTTATCGATATATTTTGTCACACTGTCTTATCTCTATTATTAGTTCCGTGGACATTCACTTCTGCTGTCAGCGCCAAAATGGCGAAAATCAAATCACCTCATTATGTCACGGTTTATAGCCAGTCAATATATAGAGGTCAGTGATTACACTGTTATGACACAGAACATATCTATGGGTGTGAGTACAAATCTCGGCACGTGCCGAGATTTGTACATAAGAAACGTGAAGGGGACGCGTGCGAATTGAATGCACGAATGCGACTGGAGAGCCAATCAGCTCAACTTATGCGCAATAACGGTCACCGCTAGCCTTTCGTGCCGCTGCTTTTAATTGTTAATGTATTGATTTAGTTGTTATGTGCGTGCGTAGTGACAGACCACTATTTTTGTATGGGAGTCTCAGAAAGTGTGCGTGGCAAGAAAATAACGGTATGGTTACTAGCCTCCTGTGTTGCTCTATGATATTTCCCAAGAACTTCGCAATGTGACGCATTACTGTATTGTAAAGAGTTTTATGAACGAAATAGAAATTAGACTAGGCTGTATAGTACAAGACTTTTGTATGCTTTCATTGGCCTATCACGATTGACATTGACAGTGACAGGTAACAGTAGACGTAGTAGCAGTATTATAGCACAACACACGTTTACCGCGTCCTTACCTTTAGAAAAAATATTCTTAAGCCGGAACCTAGAAAGAAGTATGGTTTTATGTAGATAATAAATTATTTCAATAAATTAATCCTCATCATATTTTGTGGAAACCAATAAGTACAATATGGAGCTATGGTTAATATTATGTTCTTCTATATTATATTTTATAGTGCTAGCTGCTTTCTTACTAATTTCGGTGAGTTCTTTAATATAAATTAAGCACAATCGCAAACGTGTATGTTCTATACCTGTGTTCAAGGACTATAATAATTAATTATTTTTGGTTCTTATATGGAGAGTATTTTTTTTATTTCAGTTCTCTATTTTCATTTATCTGACTACAAATACATTTCCTGTAGTAACGAGATACAAGGAAGAGGAGACATTTTTTGATCCCAAAACAAAAAATAGATCAAACTTTCCAAGCCTTAATGAGCCATATAGTGTAAATTTATCGGTTGTAGTACCTGCATATAATGAAGAAGAAAGATGTAAGTTATCTTTTCGAAGTTTATACTTGGTTTCGAGTTACAAAGTTAACAATTTTGATATATCAAGGTGACCACACTATAACAACAAAAAAACATAGAATGATGCATTCTTTTAAATCAGTATGACATGGTGGATGGAAAATTACTTATTATCATCATCACAGGTATTCACAAGTCCATTGCTGAACATAGGCTTCCCCCCAGGAATGCCACAAAGTATGATCCATCGACTTCCTGTAAGTCTTACCAGGCAGTCACTCCATCTAGTGCAGTGATTCCCAACCAGTGGTCCCCAAAAGCTTAAACATGGTCTGCGAAAGATTTAAATATTTTACCTTCCTATTTGTTTTAAATAACTCATATATTATTTTCTCATCATGTGGATAGTGCAACACCATGCGTCACATTAGTGAGTACCTACTAGCTTTTACAATAAATACACAAATAATACTGTAAATGAAAGCTTCTTTTCAGTATATTATAAAATTATGTTTAAAGTTGTAATTATAATTTTTTATAAGATTAAGATTAGTATTTTTCTTTCACCTTGTGGTCCCTGCTAACTAGACAAAAATCAAAGTAGTCTGGGCAAAAAAAGGTTGGGAAACCCTGATCTAGTGGGAGGCCGCCCAACACTTCACCCACAAGTACGAGGCTGGCAGAAAATTATTCAACTGTGAAATAATTGCTTTCTACATAATTTTCTATTACAAGATAAAAAACCCACAAAAATTGAGTGGTGGTGTAAGATCATCCATCTCTATTCATATTAGCAATGTGTCATCGACGTATTTGTTGTCACCGAAACTAGACTGACCATTTTCATTCATTGACTAGTCGATCAACTAGTTAAATTTGTCAACTAGTTTACGCATCAACTTGTTTTTGCAGACATTTAAATTTAAACTCCACGACGTCGTCTATGTGATTGCCACAGGAAAATAATCTAAGACATAACTTAAATTTACAAATGAAAAATTTAATATGGAATAATAATTTAAATTTGACATATAATTGTAATGATAATGGTGACAAATTTCATTTAATTGACATAAATAATGTAATTAAGAAGTTTTGGACAAAAGATAGGTATTAACAAAGAGATTTAAATATATGGGTATACTATAGAGCGGACATTGGGAACATTTATATACAAAAACTTTGGTTTGTGCACGTGTGGCACCCTCTAGCTAAAGATAGCAAAACAACGCTAAGCATTCATTAAGATTTTAGCTATTCCCCAGTAGGTGACGCTATTAAATATAACCTCGTTTTAGGAATGTTACCATTTCGATGTCAAAGTATCGATAATGTCGTTGGAGATTACTAAGTTTGAAATGCTTTTCGATATAATAATAGGGAATATACATGATTGTTTTATTGTATAAATCTATTTATCATGACTTCCATCACACGAAAAAAATTATATTAACTTTTACGCCCCTTTAGTGTCATGAAATAAAATATTTAATTTCCAATAACTAAGAATCAATTCAAACAGCAGTCACTTTGGTTGCCACCTTGGTGGCATAACGTCACTTGGTCCATAATAATTGCATATGATTTGTCGGTCGGTGTTAAAGACACATCGAGAAACGCGAAATTCAATAAGAGATCTCCTCTATGTTTTTAAATTCGTTCCTATTACAAAAATACACTTCAAATCTAAAATATTTTAGGAAAACACTGAACTTAAAAGCCGTTTCACGATTTTTCACGTTTCATCGGCTGCAGTACTTAAAAACACTACCCTAATAAAAAATGTTATTTTAAGTTTTTACCTTATTTTCTAACTCAGGCTTAACCTACAACTTCTTGCATCTAATATCTTTAACAGTACAAATTGTTTTTAATGTAAGAAATCTATTGCCCTCTCCTATCACTGTAAGCAAGGATCTATAATGGCTTTGTCCATGAAAACCACCAGACAATGAAGCCCGGTGTAAAACCACCAGACGATGAAGCCTGGTATGTAAAAGAGAAGACTTGCTGTATTGCTAAACATCAACACAGCATGCCTAAAAAAAATTTCCCACCCTTGCTCCAAGTAGGGTACTTAGCATAGTTGGTATATGCTACTCATTTTTGTTGGTATGGATACAGTATCGTTGACTGTTTTACCTCCTTAAATATTGTAAAGGATTAAATCGGCATCCTGTAAATTTTTATCGATAATCCCAATCGATAAATGTCATCAATCACTAACTTTAAAATTGGTAACTAAATAGTGACGTTTACTGGATAGAAGATAGAGGGCGCTTATTACAATAAAAATAAATGTTCTAGTGCAATCTACTAGAAATAATAAAATTTAAAGATATAATATAATAATATATGTTATATTTACGATAATAAACCGAAATCACGTTCATTTTTTGCTCCATATCGTGACTTACAATATCTTAATGCACAACCGGGCATATTTTCTTTAAAAATATGTTTTAGTCAAGACGCATTCGTTTCATATACTTAATATGAAACGAATGCGTCTTGACTTTTTGGCGATGTCACTAAGACTGAATGACAAAAATCGGAGATATATCCTATAGGACATAAGTTACAGACGACAATTTTGCTACTGATGTCCGGTCTATTACTACTACTTAAATATCTTTGGGTATTACCTATCCAAATATAATTTAAGATTGGTGACGAATGTGCTATCTTATTATTTACATTTTAACTTAGCCAAGTTTTTGGCTACCAAGACTGCTTCTATTGAGCAGTGTAATCATTTGACATTTAATTTGTAATCAGTTCCAACTAATTTAAATTAGTGAATCTGACAATAAGAGTTTAATTTAGAATGCAGCCCATAAATAAGTAATAAGAATTGTTTGTGAAAATCTGGTGTATCAAAATTTACAAGGCACGATGGGCAAAGAATTGGAAGTTGAATTGTTTTTAAAGTTTAGTTCATTATTTAAATCGTATAATCTTGTTAATTTATTCTTAGAACCAACGCGTATTGTTGGGCCTAGTGCGACCTGTATAGATAACATTTTTAGCCCAAGCCCTTTTAACTTAAGCCCTCGCATAAATCAATCATTCAAAATTTAAGTTCAGATCACTGTGGACATTTGGTCTCATTGTCTTACATACACAAAAACAAAAATGAGAAAGTTGTGTTTGTTCCAATAAATGAACATAGTTTGGAGAGGTTTAGAAGTAACATAGTAAAAGGACTTCCATCACTTTCATTTAAAAATAGTGCTTATTATTTGTATGGTTCATTATTTTAAATTATAACTTGTGAATTTAAAAGAATTGTGTTACGGCCCTCAGTTGCCCGACAGAAGTCGACGTCGACTGTACTAGGGCCCATGAGTAATACATTCGACGAACAACCAGAGGGTTCGGGCCCAAGTGGCCTATGGATAATTATTAACTAATGGCTGATAAGCAAACACAATCTTACCGAGTTCCGGAGGTAGGGTTGACCACAGGGTATCAGTCAGGTGGTAAGTAAGGTGTATGTAGGTAGTGTGCGAAAGTGTGTATAAATGTAACCTGACGTCACCGATGTAATCTGAGAGCAGACCCACAGGCGCTGCTTTTCTCCACAATGTGCGATCCCTCCAGTGGGCGTTCACCAATTAAAACTTTCTGCTTTTATTACACTATATTAGTTTATCAACTTTATCGTACATTTCATTAACTTCAAATTTAACTAAATCCACGTTAATCGAACTTAAAACAAGTGACACACTGCACAACTTAAGAACGGTCCGTCAAAGTTGCGATCTCCTCTCGAGTCACAAAGTTTTAGTGTTCCACCCGACAAAGCAAAAATTCCTTCGTACGATATTAAAATGCCACAAAAGCAACTCGTCGGCGCAAATTAATGGTAATCGGAGTTAAGTTAATCACTCAAAACTATTACAACAAGAATTCTATAAGACAAGCCTCGTTGTCACGTAAAACGCACGAGATTAGACAACGCTATAAGAGGCGGTTCCGAGCGTAAATTTTAGACCGTCTAACCGACACGGCGGTCGCGAACAATTAACCTCGCCGACACCCGTCAGGCGACCGAGCCGTCAGCCGAGCGCCGCTCGCGGGAGATGGGGCCGGCGGTGACCTTTAAATTCCATCGGAAGGACACGCCGAGACGCGCGTCTTGAATGCAATTTTTTAAAATGTTAATATTTGGCCTAAAAAAATTGAATTGATTGAATTGAATAAACGGCCTGTTTTCCGCAACTCCACGTCTAAGCGCGTATTTTGCGTGTGGGCAGGAATAATGTATTTATTCGAGCCATGAAATCTCCCCGAAGAAGTTCAACAGTCCTTTGATGTTGCAAGCAACTTCGGGAAGTGATCCTGTCGTGCGGACATGTTTAGCCCTGTATACAGCGACTCCTGGACACGTCAGCAACACGTGGCCAGAGCCGATCCTCTTCTGGCCAGTTCGTCTGCTGCATCTTTGCCTCTGCATCCCCTGTGTCCCTTTATCCATTGCAGAGTCACATTATTGTGTTTACATACTTCATTTAATCATTGGAGGCATTCATATATTAGTCCTGAGCTAACAACATTGCAGCTCAGGGCTTGTAGTACCGTCCTACTGTCGGTCAGTATTCTGATGGAGAAGTCATTAACCTTTCTAGCATCTATTGCTATGGCCGCTTGAATGATACCCATACATTAGGCCTGAAACGCTGTGTTGTAAGTACCCAGCGGTGTGCATATGTGGATGTTGAGGTCTTCAGAAAAAGTTCCAGACCCTACACCTTCATTCGTTTTAGAACCATCGGTGAAGACTCTAAGCTCTTTTGGGCTTAATCTCTCCGGCTGGCTGGTTTCATTTAATTATATCTTATACTTCTTATTGAATACAAATTGTTTATGGATCTTATAGTACTTGGCTTGTAAGATAGGAATTTTTGAGTGAATTCTATCAAATAATGCCTGTATGAGGGACACTATTGTTACTCCAAAGATTGAAGGTCTTGAGTCTGTGGCCGTTGGAAGGAAAAGGGAGATCTCCCACCGGGCAA